TCCTGGACCTATTAGAAATATGTAACTTCTTGGTTGTATGCAGGCTTAGAAAAAATGGTCCCCATGGAGCATAAACCCTAGCAGACCTGGGTGAATAATATAATGGATAAAAGGGAGCTCAACTTGACCATAAATCGCTTGGCCAGTTACCATTAATTGTGAGCAATTTCCTGAGAAGCTCCCACCCCTTTTTCATGGAGATTCTGTTTACTGGATTCTGGAACAATTTCTATCATCAGAGAATCCTGCCTTCAAGTTGGATGGTGTTTTAGTTAGAGTTCTTGCTGCAAGCAGTAGAAGGCAGCTCTAATAGATACCAATAAAACAAGAATTTATTAGAAACATATTGGAAAAGGAAAAACAGCTATACCTGGTAGTTTGCAGAGACAATGGGATGCTGGAGAACCGGGCTCGGGCTGTGCAGGTGGGAGACGTGCCTCTGGTCTGCTGCTGAGCTAGCCCAGGGATATGCTGGAGACATGCTTGAGCTTGACACTGCAGTGTGTGCTGCTTACGTTGCTGCTTGTGGACTACAGATGCTGTCCTGAGACCTTGGTCTTGCTGCCATTGCTTGTCATCAGAAGAAGTTCTCTTTATTAGAATGAGGTGAAACTTTGGTCCACAAGGCGGTGCACAGGACTAACGTGAAGGCATGCCATCTCGTCGAGCATCTTTTTGGAGTGTCCATTTTACTTGAACATTTCTTGCAAAAAAATTTATATTAGTATTTACACACACATATAGAATAGAAAGCACAAGTTGTATTATTTGCTATGAGAAAAAGACAATTTAAAACATAAGCCTCAAACTGCACACATAGCAATAGGGAAGATGAAGGTATTTACGCACTTTCCTCTGCAGCTTACTGAGAACAGTGAGAAGCTCCATATGAAAGAATCGTTCCACTTTTCTATTTATTTTTACTGAAACATGGTCGATTGTACATATCTCTGGGTTACAGAGTTGAACATCAATATCTGTGTTCAATATGCAGTTCTCACATCAGGAGAAAAGATCTAATAAAATAAATTTAAGATGCTTATAACAGTAAATTTATGTACACTTCTATTCCAGCCTGTGTTGTGCTGGACCTCAGACTGAAAAAGTGGTGTAAGAAGTTGGAAAGAGCACAAAATTAGGAGTTAAGAGATCTGGTTCTAGTCTCAGCTCTGCCACAAACTAAGTAAATGACCTGGGATGAGACCTTTCTGTCTGTTCCCTCTGTTTCCTCCTATCAAAGGGTGTGACAGGTAATTTCTGAGGTTCTTTTTGGCATTTAGTCTCTAAGTCATTGGCATGGGGAAGGTAGGTGAGCTGCCTTCCTTGGAACTGTAGAACACGAGTGTGACCACCAGAGGGCAGAGGGCAGCTTCAACTTCCCAGTAACATAATTTTTATGCTCATACATTGTCCTGTCTGCAATTGCGATGTGAACTACAAATAAGTTGGACTTATCAGCCCTGGAAAGATTTAACATTTCAAGTATAAATTTAATTTTACATTTTTGGCTGAGATGATGTTATAGAAAGTAAACAAAACAGTCCTTGCACTACTCTCACACATTTTCTCTTGTGTATTTAAATTATTCAGGAAAGGCTGGATTATACCATTGCCGCAAATCTCATAGCCTAGCACTGACAAATTCCTATCCCTATTTCTTGCTCATGCTACATTCTCCAAAAAAGCCAGATAGGTGCTCAGCTCCACACTGTCACTGGAGGACCCAGATTGACAAAGGCCCCATTATCTTGTATTTTCACCATATGGAGCACATGACGTTTTCAGTTACTTCAGGTAAAGAAGGGTGGAAAATTGCACATGGTCTTTTCCCCTGCCTCAAACTGTAAGGGACTTATGTTGCTTCCACTCATACTTCATTGGCCAGAACTAGTTACATCTGTAAAAGGACGTGGAAATATAGGTGAGCAAATGGAACATATGGAGATCAATAATGTATCTGCCATAACAACATACTGTCCACATATATACAAATAATCTCCATAGATGCACCCGTTTTTGCATTTATTTTAATAACATTATTTCACGTAAAATTACAAGAAACATTTTTATACGTCTATGTGATTTTTATCACTTAAATAGCTGTTCCATATTCTATTCACATACCATACTTTATAAATTTATGTTCTTAATGGTGGGCATTTGAGTGGTAATTTATTAATTTTTACTATTACAACATATTGATTCGATGAAATGACAAGGCTTTACTTACTTATTTTACTAAAATTAATTCCTAGTGCCATCAGGATTTCATTTTGGATGTTGGAAAAGAAAGCATCAGCTGTAGTGTTTCCACATCACCCTTTTGGGCAGCGTGATGGATCTTTCCCAGATGTCTTATTCGGATGTGGTAGCTCAGCCGAAAGCCGATTCTCTTTTCAAACAAGCCGCATCCACCCTTGACTTCTGCAACCTGGGCGAGGTGCCCGGGGGTGAGGCTTTTTGAGTTTTGAGGGAAGAAGGAAGAGTCACTGTCGGGCACCTCCACCAGGTTGCAGCAGCCAAGTGCAGACGCGGTTTATTTGAGAAAGAGAATTGGTTTAGGGCTGAGCTACGACGTCCGTATCAGACGTCTGGGAAAGATTGATCAAACTGCCAAAAAGGGTGATGTTGAAAGAGCATGGTAGATGACAACAGCTTCAAAGGCCCATACCCTCAACAGCCCCTCGGCACTTACCCACTTCTGAAGCCTATGTGAGCGAATATTACTCCATAATCTTATGTATATCCAACCTCTATGCCACAACAGCCCCAATAAAAAGCCTCCCGTTCCGAACTGTCACCAAGCAGCAGGTCTAAAGACAAGTGAGCATGCGCACACTGTCCTGGCGCCCAAGAGTTCTAAGACGGCGTCTGGGTTCCCCGTGTGGGCCAATGGTTGCTGAGTGACGTCAGCAATAACTAGGGAGATTCAAAGTTTGTTTTCACCGGCTATTTGTTGCTGTGGCTGCAGATCAGTTCTTTCCTAAGCTTGGGCCTGGCTCCACCCACTACGTCTCGTTCCATTCTGTCCTCCATGTCCCCTACTCCACACGGAAGGATCTGCGGTGCTCTTTCCACAGGA